AGAAGGCAATTCCTTAACTTTGACATGAAATACTATGTGGTATCCTTCACCTGGACGAGCTGGCAGCGCGGCAGCTGTGAAATGAATGTCTGCTCTTGCGTTACATGCATTCACAATGATTTGTGAACAAATCAATAATCAAAATGGTGGCAGGAGGGCTCGACCCCCAGTGGTTATTACTTTTAGATATTTTCACTTGCCCCTCCACAGAAAAAATAATATATATACATATGTTTTGTTTTTTTGTCTTTACAATATGTGCCAAGCTGATAGCCTATCAAGCTGAGCAATCCATAAAATCAAAGGGTACTTCAACTGAGTATGTGTGTGTGTGTGTGTGTGTGAGAGAGAGAGAGAGAGAGAGAGAGAGAGAGAGACAGAGACAAATGTGGTTTATTAGGACACAAATTAAATGTGTATAATGACATGGTTATTACAACATAAAGGTGGTTTATGAGGAGACTTCCTTTGTTTGTTTTTTTTTAAACCAAATGGTGTTTTTTATATATGTATATAAAAGGGTAGGGTGTAACGATGCACGTATTTGTATTGAACCGTTCGGTACGAGTCTTTCGGTTCGGAACCGAACGATTCGTTTGACCATTTTTCCTGCCAATGCGACCAAAATTTTGTTTGCATTCGTCCAACATCAGATAGCAGAAAACGGAATGAAAGCGGCATGAAATTGCGCTACTCATTTGTGATTTTATCAGTTTGGACTTCCATCAGTTTGGACCAATGTCTGTGCAGCACGAGCTGATCTTGATCAAGTGACACTGTTACTTCACAGCGCTAAGAGATCCAGTAAAGAAAACATATAGTCCTTTAAGTCCACAGATCAGCAATCATTCTTCAAAATATCTTCCTTTGTGTTCAGCAGAAGAAAGTAACTCATACAGGTTTGCAACAACTAGAGGGTGAGTAAATGATGACAGAATTTTCATTTTTGGGTGGAGTATCCCTTTAAAGGTAAAATATGCAAGATTGTTTTGCCACCAGGGGTCGCTAACCTCTTACAATAACAAAGGCATTAAGCGGAATTATTGATCTTGTCGTCAAGCTGATGGATCTTTTATGAATAAGTGAATACATTGATGTTTTTAACATGACTGTAGTGTGAAGCAGGGCGCGATTGCTAGATGTATACCAGCGCCACACGCAACGCGAGTCCCGCGGATATAAAGGAATAAGGACATTTAATTCTACCAAACTACACGCTGAATTACTCACACAGGTCAGTTTATTAGAGGAATTACACTTGAGGTAACGCAGCGCTGCTTCACTTGCTCTAACAGTTTCACTATCACACTAAACGGCATTTGAGTGTGTTGAATGTTAGTTAGGTTGTTTGTTGGCTGTATGAGACTAAGCTAGACTAACATAAGAGAACTACATAACATTGATTAGTTTTATACATTAATTTGCTCACCTGTTTGCTCAAGTAACATGCAACACTCGCGTCTCTGTCAAGTCGAAGTTAGCCGTGGACGTGGAGCTCTCGGCATCTCGAAAGATGTTGATCTTTGTTTTAGTCCTCTTTGTGTCTCAAAGTCTGCCTGCCATGGTCCATAATGTTTCAACAAAACCCTGCTAGGGACGCTCACGCTGTTGAACGCGCATAACGGGCATAACCGACCCAGTTGTCCACGTCTGTGGCCATGGTTACTATTGCAGTACGAGGTCAAACCTGGCGGAAACCAGGGTAACCCGGATATGACGTCATTGACTGTCGACTCCTCACCCCTGCTCACACACCCCGTTTCCTTGGTTAAAAATCGCAATTTTTTTCACGATTTACAAATAGTTGGAAACATTTGGGATATTGCAAGTAATCAACTAGCCTAAACAAAATATAACATTGGCCAAGTGGTTTTTGGATATTTTACTGCAAAAATCCTGCATATTGTACCTTTAAGTTTACAAGTCATTAAAAACCATGTACAGTATATGAAACTTGACTAGTATCATATTTTTCAGATACGGAAGGACACAGCAGAAAATGAAAAATTTATCAGTTGCTGATTGCACAGATGGCGAGGGACTGAAATTTAAAAGATTACGGCCATGAATGAGTCTGTGGATGCGTCTGCTTGCACATCTAGCAGACGAAGTACAGGGAACTTTCTTGTGGATGAAGCTACATTTACCTTCACAATGCTCTGGCACAAACATCATTAGCCCTGAGACCTTTCTAGAAGCACAGCAGGGGATTGTGCACCTGCTACTGCTTGACAAACTCCCTCTCTGCCCGGGTGTTCGGTTTTAAGGGCATCGTGGTCCTCTGCCAGACCCAAGCAGCCAGAGAATTCAGCTGCCAGCAGAAGTTTATGATTTGAGACAAATATAAACACCTACAAAAAGATAGATTTGCCCAGTTTTTCTCTGCATCAAAATGAGTGCCAAGAGCATTTTTAGAGTATAATAGGCAGCTTTTTCATTCGAACATTAACTGTGACCACATAGAGTACTACTTACTGTTCTTACATTTGGCTTATCTAAAAAGAAAAAATTACAGTAGCATTCGGATCTAAAAACCTAATCTTTAACGCTCAGATTTATATTGCCATAAATGAAACGGGAAAGGTTAACATGTCAACCTCATTCCAATATGCTAGCTCCGATAATGCTGTTGGCTCCTCGATTCAGATCAATAATATCTAGCTCATTCCCAGAACAGTGCTGGGAGCTCTCCAAACATCAAAAGACCTTGACACAGAACTTGGGAACTGGCTGACACTGCATGCACCTCAACAACTTTGCTGAACCTTTAGAAATTAAATAAAGTATATAAGTTTGAAGCATGCAATAAAAGACTGTGAGTTACGGTAACACTCCTCCACTCACACACACACAAACAAAAAGGTAGTCTGCGTTACAATTTCTGGACTGATATGGGGTCAATGCATCCTCTTGAGAGAGTATTTAAGGACTGTTTCCGTATGTTTAAAGTTAATTAGTAACCACAGCAGTGTATATAAAGTAGACTTTGGAGCATACCTTTGACAGCATTCATACAGTCTGACATGTCAAAGTAAATGACATGGATATTATTAGTCGTAGAATTCAAAAATCACCATTTAGTTTTAGGCTTCAGATTGACTTATTTCTGTCATTTATAGCTTAATCTAGTTAGTAGCCGATTAAAACACCTTTAAATCCCTTACTAAACAGCTGTTGTTGTTGTTTTCATGGTGCCTTCAGAAATGCAAATAGCACAAGTGACAAAAATACATGCATTGTGGGTGGAAAGGAAAGAGCTTAAAGCAGGATGAGGTTTTAATTCATGAGAATTTTGGTGTCTTTTTTTTTAGATCATTTATCCCTTTGATTACTGGAAGAAAATGGCTCTAATCTGTGGAGTATTAAGGAATTATAAATGTTCTTTTAAATGAGGCATGCTGTTTTGGTTATTTTTCAATTTAACAGAGGAATAAAAGAGCCTGTCATTAATAGTCACACATGGCTGATCATTTCTATTATACCATCCGATGTCTAAAATAACTAATTCACAAAAATAAATGGCACTAAATCTGACAAGACCTGTTCTGTTTTATGCTCACCTGCATTTTCACATCAACAATTTCTTTGTACGAGCACAATACATAAAGCAAACACATTAAGGCCCGGTTTCACACACAGCGCTTAGACCAGGAGTGTCCAATCCTGCTCCTGAATGGCTTTTGTCCTGCAGAGTTTAGCTTAAACCCCAATTAAACACACCTGAAACAGCTATTCAAGGTTTTAAGGCATACAAGAAACTTTATCAGGTGTGATGAGGCAAGTTGGAGCTAAACTCTGCAGGACAGTGGCCCTTCAGGACCGACTTTGGCTTACACTAAGCCAGGATTACTGGTGAAAAAAAAACATTACTGGTGTGTATCTTGAGATAAAAGAACGGAAGTTGCTTTCAGTTAAAACAGCTCAAACATGCATTTTAGTCTGGGACTAGGCTTAAGCTTTGTCTGAGAAACCGGGGGCACTAACCAGTCACTTTCTTTTCTCAGCATGCCAACTGTTACTCTTGTCCCCAAGTGTCCTACTATGCATATACCCTGTATATATGAAACATTACAGAGGAATGACAGCCAAACGATGCATATGCCATCTGTGACCATGCATGCAGTCTGACCTAATGACTCCTCTATTGTTCAGGTCCAGAGATCTCAGCTCAACTGTCTGTTACACAGACAGACAGATATTTGACATTCTATTATCATTGAAATCAGGTTTGGCAGTCTTATGACATCCGTGTCAAACACATAGATCATGCACGTTCATATTTTCCAATATGCCACCATTAAGTCTATCTACGAAATTTAGGTGATTCTTCAAATAGGAGTACTTTTTGTGTAATTAAACTGAGTATGAAAGAAATCTAAAATCATCTCTCATTTTAACAAATTAAAACAGATTATGTACTGTGCCAATGTTAAATTCAGAGATATATTAGATTAGCTAGCTCGTATTTCTCCAAACTTACCCTATTCAACATGTAAATGATCAAAAGAATGGTTAACATCAGATTAATTCTACTTTTCAATGTGTAATAACATTTTCAGTTCGTTTGATATTAATGTGTAGCCCACTTTAAAAAAAAACTGCTGTCATTCAGTTTTTTCCATAACTTTATTTTATTATACGATGACGTTAGCCTACAAAATGACATGGGGCGTGTTTCTGCAATAAACAAGTGGTAATAACCAAACGGTTAAGGTTTAATTCAAAGTTTTAACGAATTTCAATATCAGAAACAATCAATTATATTTTAATAGTATACATTTATCGCTAACTGCTAGCTAGTTAACTTGTGTTAGAATGTTCAAGGCTTAATGAACTTCTCTAAAAACGGCTCATTACCGTCAGAAATATAAAAACTCAAGGCCATGGTCAGAAATGTATTGATACACGTTTTGACAGTCATTTCAAGTAGTCAACAGTTCCTCCATAATTGAAGAATTCCTCATATATCAGAATACTGAACTGTTTTATGTTTTCCTTACCTTGCGTGATCGCTCTCAACACGTGGACGTGCATGCAGAAAAACGCCCACCAACTCCAAGTGCACAATGCAAACTTTCTCTTTCCATTCCCGCTCACATTCCTCCCGGAGAAACGTGTAAAAATCTTGGAAGAAGAGCTCCTGTGATCACACATGATGGCATTATTGTCCACGCACTTGTGAAATGATGTCGAGTAAGCGCGCGCTGTGGCTTCACGGGAGCCGTTGCCTCCTGAGTAAACACTGTCCTCCTCCACTGCCGTGTTGTGTCTCCCAGGTCTGTGTGCTTCAGACAGAACTGTGAATTTTCTCTCTGTGGGATCACATCCACTGGCGTCCATTCCGGTCTCCGCTCTCCGTAAGTTTCTTATTCACGAGAAGTGACAGTTAGAAAACGTACATTCCGTCCAGACGAAAGTTCCCGGCAAATGACGTGCTTTTCATTAGCAGTTAAATGCGCGTGAAGCCCACGAATTGCACAGACACAGTCATTACGGGTTTATAAATATAGAGTCCTGACTCTTGCTGTAATTAAATGTATGCATTACACACTGATGACACCACACTGATTCACTTTACAGGATCCCGCCGGTCTTTTTTTATTTCTTGCAATCGAAAGTCTCACTTTCAAAGCACACTCACTCAATATATCCCTTCAAGTCTCATGCGTGAATATTCGCAAGATCCCCTCTTACTTTTGCAGATCCAGTTGCATGCAGAGCTGTTCCTCCTGTTTGCTGTTATTGCAACATGTTGGAGGGATTGCAAAGAAAACCATAAGCAACCAAACTATCAATCAACTAACGTTACCGGTCGACTGATGTACAATAGCTATCGACAAGAATCCATACGGTTGCATGCAGCTACGTAAACCAAGTCAAAGACACCCAAAACCAGTATGCGTAGTAATATGACCTCTCTTAAATTCACCGGCAGTGCCTGATGAAACGTCGAAGCGCATATGATTATAGGAACAAATCAATAAATACATATGTTTATCGCAAGGTGTCCCAGGTGCTCCGGCGTACTCTGGAAATGCCCTGCGAGCAAATGCAACAAGCGGCTGGTCGTTGTGTACGTGTGAGCAGAGCTCCGGCTCACAGCGAACTGAACCCTGCAAACATGCCCCTGCGGGGCCGACGCTGGCTTTTTGTGGGCACAGTGGGCTAGGGCCAGCCCACGCCAAACCTAAACAGGCCCAGTGCGGGTTGCCCAGACGAGGCCCACAGCTTTGGGCTCACTGCGGGCTATCAGTGAGCAGCCCACACTAGCGGGCTGCCCACATTAAGCCCATGATGGCCCACTGTGGGCCATCCCATTCGGGCCCATGAGCAGGTTTTGCACCTTTGGGCCCATGCGGGTTTAGTTTAGGTAGCCCACATTTAGATTTGCCCACATGCCCACAATGTCGTCAGTACGTCCTCTAATCAAAATAACTTGGTAATTTTAGTTCTCTTAAAAAAAAAAAAATAAAATAAAATAAAAAAAAAAAAAATATATATATATATATATATATATATATATATATATATATATATATATATATATTAAGAGAATAAGAAAGCACTAATAATATATATATATATATATATATATATATAAGAGAATAAGAAAGCACTAATAACTTGGTAATTTTAATTCTCTTAAAAATTTTTTTTTAAACAATTTAAATATATATATATATATATATATATATATATATATATATATTTAAATTGTTTAAAAATGTTTTATTTTTTTTAAGATATATATATATATATATATATATAAGAGAATAAGAAAGCACTCTTTATATAAAGATGGTAATGAAATTACGGGCCTGTTGCAGTTTCATTCCACACTTTATGTTACATATTTATATTACACGTTGCTCTTTATATTACATGTAGGCCTTTATATAATACAGATGTCATGAAATTGCTTAGCAAAATGGTATTAAAAAGCATAATTGTCAACTGAATGGGTCATAGAACTACACAATGAGTTTTAAATTCATTATATAAAATTAAAGATATTTTAAATTGTTAAATGTTATAATTCTAGATGTTTATTTAAATGCTGCGTGCCTTTTGACTATGGTTTCTATGGTTTCATTTGGGACTATGGTGTTCTATGGTTTCAATATGGGCGTACGTGCGCGAGTCGCATTCAAATCTGATTCAAAGACAGGAGCGCGCGCGAGCAGATGGAAACCATGGAAACGAGGAAACCCATCAACTGACAAACAGCAAACTAGCGTCTCTCACTGTTGTTTTCTCTGCTTTCAGGTAAGTCTAGTTACCAAAATCACACAAATAATACATACAAACCTTCCTGATATATGTCTTACGTGTAATTGATACACTTCTGTTGAATATTTACTTTATAGAAATAGTTTTGTGTCTTCGATAAAGTCCGTTAGCATCTGACTGAACCGTTTTCAGAAGAGCTAACGTTAAGTTGTTTACGTTACAATTGAGCTCTTGTTTTACATAAGTGTGGGTTTTTAACCACATTTTTGTGTTGATAACAGTTTTTGATAGTTTATAGAAGTTAGCTAAGTTAATTTATTTAACCTTGAAAGAATTCATTGTAACGTACTTAATGACGTCATTTACAAATATTGGTAATAAGTGATTTCAGAAGGAACAGGAAAAAAACACAACAAAGGGGAATTATTGTTTAATCATGATAATTATTTCATATGCATTATTGCACAATATATTACCTTAAGATTTTTTATGTATATTCTTTAGCTATGCTCTAGCTTGCTTCCTTGTATTAAACCCTTTGTTCTATTGTAAATTCAATGTAATATTGTTGGCTCTGTGACACATTGCATGTTATTTTCTTGAAGATCATCATAGATGTCCTGCTGCACCCCCTGGGGTCCAAGACAATCTCCACGGCTATGACCTCGACTATAGTAAGCAAAACTTCATACAATACTGTTTAATTGTTGTGGGTCTGTAGGATTTATGATTTTGAATGAAGTCTCTCACTTTAAATTCATTAACTACAGTTTTTTTCAGTGACATTGTACTTGAGAAGCTAAATAATAGGTGGCAAATATAATGTTATAATAGTCATAGTTATAATAATTCAGGATAATAGTCATGGGTATATATATATATATATATATATATATATATATATATATACAGTATATATATATATATATATATTATTTTTTTATTTTATTTTTTCTCTGGGTGTGTTTAATTATGTTGGCCAATGAGACACCATACTGTCCAACTCAAAGCTATTTTTTTATGTATGTTTGACTGATAAATACTGAAATTCTTTTTACTTTCAAATGCTGAATTCAGGGGGTTATGGCTGTGCTCTTGTTACCAGATGAGATATCATTTGATCCTGTGATTCTTCAGGACAAGATCTTGATGCCATCCACACCCAGTACATGACGAAGGTGAGTTTCACAATAGCTATATCACCATCACAAACCAAGAGGCCAAACACAACAGGCCTTCATCCATATGAACTCACCCATATGTAGGAATAGGTTCCGAAACCCGGTATTAAACATTAAACGGGCCCTGGGGCCAAATTAAGGAAGACTGCAGTATCGATAAGCTCAGATGTTATCAGTTCTGCTGACGGTACTGAAGAAATTACACACACACTATTTATTATAGACATTATCTTGTGTCATTGTCATGTGTTTTTCAGGCTGGTTGTTTGTCATTTTGTAAGAGTAGAGAGAGGCTGTACCTCAGTGAAGACTTATTTTACATTAGATAATTCAATTTCCGTACCTGATAAGTTAGATTTTCCGAAAAAACTTCATGCACTGCTTATTTCAATTGTATTTTTCTTCTATTGAATTTATCAATACTTTTAATTTGTTATAATTTTCAATGCAGATTCACTCAATAATCTCTTGAAATTTGTTTTTATATCGCAATATATATAGCAGCAGATAAACAAAATATTTTATTTAAGGTTTTTAGTATTGTGCAGCTCTAATATTGAGCATTTAACCTGATTGAACCTGGAATTGTTATAATAACCTGGAATAATTTGTGATACCAGATGTATGATTATGTATGATAGATTTTGAACTGTATTTTTTTTTTTTTTTTTTTTTTGCAGGTTTTCTGGGATCCACAGTGGAAGGCATCAAGGCGTGAGATGTTGGCTGGACAGATGTACCTGTACACCACACCGACCTCTGCTTTTACATGGATGGCGGATTACTATCATGTTCTGTAAAGGTTTCATTATAGCAAAACAGAGCACCTGTGACAGTGGAATCTGTAGGTGTAACGTAGTCAGTTAAAAGTAGTCCGGTGTAAAGTAGTCACAGAGAGAACGTTTTTTTTTTTTTAAGTTTCAAACTTTTTTCTCTTTCACAAAAAACACTGCAGTTACAGCTTTTCAAATTCTTCATTGGAGGTGTACAAATAATTTTCTTTTTTTCAAATCACAAAAAGGGCTGTGCAAAAATTAATTGCAATTAATCGCATCCAAAATAAAAGTCTGTGTTTACATAATATATTTGTGTGTGCTGTATATAATTATTTTGTATATATAAATACCTATGCATGCATGTATATGTTTAAGAATTATTTGCACTTAAATTCTGTGTATATATATATATATATATATATATATATATATATATATATATATGAATACATAATCTATATTATATAAATATAAATATTTTATATATGAATAACACATTTTCTTAAATATATACATGCATGTGTGTGTATTTATATATACAATATAGGGCTGTGTAACGATTAATTGCATCAAAAATAAAAGTTTGTGTTTACATGATATATGTCTGTATAATTATTTTGTATATATAAATACACACATATGCATGTATATATTTAAGAAAAATGTGTTATTGATATATCAAAGATTTATATTTATGTATAATATTAATTTTGTATAAACATACAGTACAAACATGAAAATATTTCTTAAATATATACATGCATGTGTGTGTATTTATATATACAAAATAATTATACACACTACACAAACGTATATAATTTATGTGAACACAAACTTTTATTTTGGATGCGATTAATCGTTTCACAGCCCTAATACAAAATAATTATATACAGCACACACAAATATATTATGTAAACACAGACTTTTATTTTGAATGCGATTAATCGCAATTAACTTTTGCACAGCCCTGTAAGAAATGTATGCTGACATTTAAGGCACGGCCACACGGGGTTTGAGCATATGTGACTGTGAATGAAAAGTGAAGTGTGACCACATGAGAATAGCCAAACAGTATAGATGATTCACAAAATTATACACCAAGAAATGTGCATAAATGTTACTGTTTATCAACAAAAATATGACCCTATGAGTTTGGTAATTTTTAGAATAGGATTTGTGCACCTGCAATGAAGAATTTAACTGATGTTTTGTGTAACTGATGTGTTGTGTTTGTGAGAGAGAGAAAGCAAAGAAAAAGAGGTTTGCAACTCATAAAACATTTTCTCGAAGACTAAAAATCTACAAATTGCACTGTTATAGGGACTCTGTTTAGCTTCAATATTACTAGATATAATACAGTGTCAATCTTATTAACTACTATTTATTTTGTATAAAATCATATACAGTATACAGGTAAAAAATTTGGAAACATTTTGGAAGAAGTCTATTCTGCTTATCAAGCTTGCATTTATTTGCATTTATTTAAAAATAAAAAAAAACAGTAATATTGTGAAATTTTATCATAATGTAAAACAGCTGTTTTCTATGTTTCTGTTTTTTATGTGAATATATAATAGTGTAATTATATTATATATAATAACCTGAATTTAATGTTTTATGTTTTGTAATTAATAAATACATTGATTTGAAATCCCTTTGACTTCTGTACATTTGTGAAAATACAGAAATTTGTTATGTGGTGACTGCATTCAGATGTATGGAATAATTGTTTTTCCCAAAGACTTATAGTTATATTAGCCAAAAAGTATTTATAGTGAAACAGATTAATTGTGAACTAGATCTATTGTTGTAGATGCCCTGTGTGTGCGGTGCGGGCCCTGTGTGGGCTTAGTGAGGGCTTCCTTGGGGCTAAGTGAGGGCTGCCCATGCAGGGCCAACGTTTTGTGGGCCCAGTGTG